GCGGCCGCTGCCGCCGCGGCTGCCACGGCCACGTTCTTTCCGTCACACTTTTCGCATCATGCACCCCTAAATGGTGAGTACTTGGTTCTCTTATGGACTCTTAACCCTGGTTGCGTGGATGTCTTGAGCGTCAAATATGTTTGTTTCTTGTATGACAACAAATGGTCTATCCTGAGAGAAAAGACGTATAACTTTCTTTTTATCTTGAAGATTGTATCATCCACGTGATCTCTGGGCGGACTTACAAGAGCAATTTTAACACTTTGACGGCTATCTGATGCATTAAGAACTTTTATCTTCCCTTAACTATGAGTAATTAACGTATACATTATTTATCAAGCAATGTTACGAATTTATGAAGCAACGTTACGCCTTGAATTCTTCAGCAAGAACTTGAAACTGCTATCTGAACGCTGATAGCAAAAAGTGTTGACAATTTAAAAAAATGTAAGAACGAACGCGTGAGATTGCGGGTGTCGCGCATTCCACGAAACGCGTAGCCGTCAAAGTGTTAGGACATTGTCCGTAGATAATTGTCTATAAGTCTGAACAAGCCTTTAACATCCGTTCCCGTTAATTTTTTCCGTTTCGGTTCGTCGGGGTCGTTTGCCATTTGCTAGGGCGACGACAACCGCGTTCGGTCCGTCTTTGAACCGCCTGGCCAGCCGCCAATCGACGCGAGCTCTTCTTCGTTGGATTCTTTTCGTTGTTCGTCCGAAACTGGTCCGATCGTAAACTCGTTAAGCAGCTCAAGGTAGGTTAGAATCTCTGGACCGGATCGTAAATGCTAGCTCGGTTCGTTCAATGGAGCCGACGGCTTCGACATTCCTCTAGCTTTTCTCGTCCTCGTTTGTTCCTTTACTGGCGGATAAAATTAGTCGTCCGTAGGCTTGAACGGAAGTCTACTCTCTTCTGACGAGTCCCTCGATCCTGGTTTCGCATCCTATCCTCTATTTTCGCATTGTCCCAAAGCGTTTAACGACCGGGCCATCTTTGATTAACTAGGTATTTCCGCCGAATACGGATTCGAGAACTTGTAGTGGAACTCTATTAATAGGTGTACCGCAGACACCCAATGTTTCGAGATTTCTATAGAAACATCGATGAAAGTTGTATTATGTTTAGAACTGATGTACAGTAGATCCTCGTTATATTGCCGCAGTTGCATTCACTGTATGCATTGAAGTACCACACGTGGTATGCTTCCACGCGCTTCATTACCACGTGCTGAATTACGCGTTGTACTACCACTTGTAGAGTTATCACGCGTTGGACTTCCACAAATTGGAGTACCACGCATTGAAGTAGTAGGCGCTGTACTACCACGCGTCGAGTTACCACGCATTGAACTACTACGCGCTGCACTACCACGCACTGAATTACCACGCGTTGAGTTACCACGCATTGGACTACTACGCGCTGCGCTACCACGCACTGAATTACCACGCGTTGAGTTACCACGCATTGGACTACTACGCGCTGCGCTACCACGCACTGAATTACCACGCGTTGAGTTACCACGCATTGGACTACTACGCGCTGCGCTACCACGCACTGAATTACCACGCGTTGAGTTACCACGCATTGGACTACTACGCGCTGCGCTACCACGCACTGAATTACCACGCGTTGAGTTACCACGCATTGGACTACTACGCGCTGCGCTACCACGCACTGAATTACCACGCGTTGAGTTACCACGCATTGGACTACTACGCGCTGCGCTACCACGCACTGAATTACCACGCGTTGAGTTACCACGCATTGGACTACTACGCGCTGCGCTACCACGCACTGAATTACCACGCGTTGAGTTACCACGCATTGGACTACTACGCGCTGCACTACCACGCACTGA